AAAAAAAAAAAAAAAAAAAAAAAAATTCATGGTGTATTTTTTTAATGATCTCTTTTCTAAGATTAAAACTGTTGATGTGGAAAATACCTATTACTGTCCTTATTTTGAGACCCAGGTGAATTGCTTTAAACTTTCTGCCCCTGACAGATGCCTGTGTCTGCTGTATAGTTCCACCCTTCCTTTATTTAAATAAGTAAAACTATTTATTCCATTTCCTTGGTTTTCTAAATCTATGGATTTAACTCCAGTGGTTCAGTACACTCCAGAATTGTATTCACTAACAGCATGACAGTGCACTTTCTTACATGAGGGAGTTCTTTTATGGTTGACAATAATTCTTTCAATAGAAATACATGGAAATGTATTTATAGTTTCTAATTCTGTAGGTGGAACTTGGATTACATAAAGGACCTGGATTTGTTTGTCTGCGGCTCCCAACAGGATGCCCTGTTGAAATCTTAATTGTACGATGCTCATGCTTTTGAGGAGTTGGTTAAGAACAAACAGTGCATCGGATGAAATAATTTCCAGAGGTCCTTTCCTTGTGACCAGGGCTTGAAGTAAGTGGCAGAATGAACAAAAACACCATCCCCCAGATATGAATTGTGGCCAGGGTTAAAATGATGAGACGAGACCCCAGTTTTGCTGTCCCTCCCGGACCCTGTCCTTGGCATCCTCATAGGTCCTGGCATCCCCTGCCTGGCTGCCTGGCCCTCCAGGGACTTCTCTGACTTTGGTAGTGTTAGGCATGGCCTAGATCACTGCCTCCTACTGAAATGTACCTGTCTTGTGTCCCAGCCCACAGCCCAACGTGCTGCCCTTCTGCAAATAATACTCCAGTTTTCAACAGAGCTTGTTGATATTTTAGCCTGAATGACTGAGAACTGGCTGTTTCCAGTGATGGGGTTGAGAAACCAAGAATGAAAAGAAGAGCTGCCACCTCTTCCTCTGCCTCCATCTGCCTGATAGAGAAGGTGAGCACAGCAGGTGGGGATTTCCTCAGCATCCGCTCTTGCACAATTTAACACTTATATGGTAATACCATGTGAAGTTTGGGGACATAAAAACAAGTGACATGAGGTCTCTGTCCCCTAGTGGGGTGACAGACATGTGAGCTGATGGATGGCAGCCCCTGTGGTGCAGTGTGGTGAGTGTTGTTGCCGAGGCAGAGACAAACATGGCAGTAGAAGTCAGTAACTTTGTGCAGGGCATTTGATGTGGGTTTTGATGGCTGAATAGGAGTTTTCTAGAGACCTGGGGAAGAGAAACGTGGGCAGGAGAGTAGTAAATCATGCCAGAGTGTTGTGTCACAGGATGCAGGCTGTCACCATGGTTGGTGAGAGGCATTATGAAGTAGTATTGAGGTACTAAGGTAAGCAGTTAGAGCCAAATTATTAATGGTTTTTCTGAGGGCATACATCTGGCCAGGAGTGGCCATGGTCTTCAAGCCAGAGCTTGATTTAATTAGGCAGAACTGTCAGTTCTTCAACAGTGGAGCTCAGGGGGAGGCCAGAGATGGTGAGCCTGGATTGGGGAGAGGGCAGCCGGCTCAAAAGATATGCTTAGGGAAAATGGATTAGATTTTGTGAAGGAGAGAGGAAGGAGCTCAGGCTTCTGACCTGCATGTCAGGTTAGATGGTGACACTGCAGGTCCAGAAAGGTGATTGTGGGAGGTGTGGCAGGCTTGTGGGCAGCTTGTGAGCTCAGTGACAACAACAGCCTGATGTGTCCTCGCCTCTAGGACAGGCAGGGTCTCGGTGCAGCTGGCTGCCTTCCCTGTTTCTCAGCCCTTGCCCTGCGTACTTCACAGTCTTGTGAACCCGGGTGTTGCTAGAAGGCACAGAGATGGTGGGACTGCGTGGAGAGGCAGAGCCGTGGTCTGGGCCATCCCCAGCACGCCGGGAGGAGGGGCAGCATGACCAGGAGGAAGCCTGCCTATGTGTTTCTAGCTGTGGCAGGACTTCTGGCTTGTACCAGCGGTTTCATGCCTGGGCATCCTATGAACAGGGAGTGGTCCGCTAACTGTGGACTGGGTCTCATCTGGATGAGTGCCTTAGCTCTTCCTGCCTTTCCACTTGCTTTTTCTTGGACAAGGCATATGACTCCATCCTTCCTTGGCTGCACTGGGGGGCATGGCAGGCAGAAAGTGCTGAGAAAAGCATGTTCTCTGGGATCCAGGGAGAGAGGAATCCAGTATCTGAAAAAACAGTCACATCAACGATTGGCTTTTAAACACACAATTTTGTTTTCAAGTGTAGTTGTTTTCTTTTGCCTATGGACTTTGGGGACAATGTGGTCCAGCTCCATAAATGTGAAAAGCTCAGGTTCACTTTCAAAGTGCCTCAACAAGCTTCCTATCATTTGCATTCACAAACTTAAATGTCATGTTGCCAAATGGGTATCAGATAATAGCAGAAATAATAGATGATTCACATCATCATTTATTTCCCTTTTTTATTCCCTTTAGAGCACCATTACCCAAAGTGGATATCTTAGAACATTAATCAAAAAACATGCTCTTTGAAAAACAGGTTACATCATTAGATAAACGTGGAAAAAGCTGCATCCCTTATGCCCCTCTTGAGCATTCACAATTCACACTAAAGGTTCTGAGAAGTCCTGCACTAAAACTGCCTGGTAATATACAACTGACTATAGTTAACAGTACCATTCTGTATATTTGAAAGTTGCTAAAAGAATAGATCTTTAAAGTTCTCATCAGAAGGAAAGAATTTTAACTACATGAGGTGGTGGATATCAACTAAACTTAACTAAACTTATCATGGTAAGCATTTCACAATGTATTTGTGTATGAAATGATTATGTTGCACACCTTAAACTTACACAGTGTTATGTGACAATTATATTTCAGTAAAACTGGGAAAAAAACTATGTACACAGGGTCTCCTGTGTTGTTGTTAGTTTATGTTGATATTTTAGCCTGTTGTTAGTACATGAGACTCTGAACCTTTCTTTGTTTTTAAATACATTTTCACTGTCCAGGGGACAGACTTTTGTAAATGCTGCCCTAGCACACACAAACCACAAGCGTCTTAAATCACATTCTTGAGTCTGTAAGAAAGGAAGAAGAATTGAAGAACCACAGATAACGGGCCACAAGTCTATTCTGGACCCCTAGAGAGGTTCTTATCCTTTTGTGCATTGATTTTCCTTTTCCATTTTTACCCTCCCTCTAATTAATTTTTCTTATTGCTCTCCACTGCATTCTTGGATGTTTTGCCTTAGACAACAGTAGGGTAAATGGTTCTTTATCTCTATTTTAAAGGTATCCCATCCAGTTTTCAGCCCAGGGGTTAATTATGGCTTTATGGATTTCTTCCTTTGAAACAAATCAGCACTGATTTCTGCTAGCTCCCCATTTGCTGCAGACTAAGATGCAAAGCACTGTATCCTTAATTCTTCCTCCCTATTTTAGATCTGTAATATCTATGACAAAAAAGTGGGGAAGTGGTACTGGAGGTCCTAGCCACAGCAATCAGACAAGACAAAGACATACAGATTGTTAAGGAAGGAAGAAGTTAAGCTGTCACTTTTTGCAGATGACATGACATTTTTTTTAAGGTATCATTGATATATAATCTTATGAAGGTTTCACATGAGCAACATTGTGGTTTCAACATTCACCCATATTATCAGGCCCTCCCCCAACACCCCATTGCAGTCACTGTCCATCAGAGTAGTAAGATGCTATAGAGAGATGACATGATGTTATACATAGAAAACCCTAACAATTCTACTGAAAAAAGCTATTAGAACTAATAACTTCCAGCAAAGTTGCATGATACAAAATTAATACACAGAAATCTGTTACTTTCCTATATACTAACATGAACTAGCAGAAAGAGAAATCAGGAAAACATTTCCACTTACAATTGCATCAGAAAGAGTAAAATACCTAGGAATAAACCTAACCAAGGGGGTGAATGACCTATACTCTGAAAGCCATAAGACACTCATTAGAGAAATTAAAGAGGACACAAATAAAGGAAATCTACTCCATGCTCCTGGCTAGGAAGAATTAATATTGTCAAAATGGCCATCTTGCCCAAAGCAATCTACAGATTCAATGCAATCCCTATCAAATACCAACAACATTTTTCAATGAACTAGAACAAATAATTCTAAAATCCATATGGAACCACAGAAGACCCCAAATAGCCAAAGCTATCCTGAGAAAGAAGAACAAAGCTTGGGGAATTACACTCTTTGACTTCAAGCTATATTACAGTTCTACAGTAATCAAAACAGTATGGTACTGGCACAACAACAGACCCATAGACCAATGGAACAGAATAGAGAACCCAGATATAAACCCACATATATATGACCAATTAATATACAATAAAGGAACCATGAATATACAATGGGGAAAAGACAGTCTCTTCAATAACTGGTGTTGGAAACTGGACATCTACATACAAGAGAATGAAACTGGATTGCTGTCTAACTCCACGCACAAAAGTAAATTCAAAATAGATGGAAGACCTGAATGTAAGACATGAAACCATAAAACTTTTAGAAAAAAACATAGTTAAAAATATCTTGAACATAAGCATGAGAAATTTTTTCCTGGACACATCTCCTTAGGCAAGGAAAGGAAAATAAAAAATGAACAAGTGGGACTACATCAAGCTAAAAAGCTTCTTTACAGCAAAGGACACCATCAGCAGGACAAAAAGGCAATCTGCACTATGAGAGAATATATTCATAAATGATTTATCCAATAAGGGCTTAACACCCAAAATATATAAACAACTCATATACCTCAATAACAGCAAAAAATCCCACATAATCAGATTAAAAAATGGGCAGAGGACTTGAGCAGACATTTCTCCAAAGAAGAAATATGGATGGCCAACAGGCACATGAAAAGATACTCCACATTGCTAATCATCAGGAAAATGCAAATCAAAACTACAATGAGCTATCACCTCATACCAATTAGAATGGCCACTGATAATCCAAAAGACAAGAAAGAACAAGTGTTGGTGAGTATGTAAAGAAGAGGAAGCCCACCTACACTGTTGGTGGGAACGTAAATTGGTGCAGCCACTATGGAAAGCAGTATGGCGGTTCCTCAAAAAACTAAAAATAGAAATACCATAAGACCCAGTAATTCCACTTCTAAGAATCTACCCAAAGAAAACAAATTCCCTGTTTTGGAAAGATATATGCACCCCTATGTTTATTGCCAATTTCCAATAGTCAAATCATGGAAGCAGCCTGAGTGTCCACTTATAGATGAATGAATATAGAAGATGTGGTACATACACACAGTGGAATATTACTCAGCCATAAAATAAAAAGAAATTCTGCCATTTGCATCAACATGGATGGATCTAGAGGGTATTATGCTCAGTGAAATAAACTAGGTGGAGAAAAACAAATACCATATGATTTCACTGACTTGTGGAATATAAAAACAAAGCAGGACAGAATGAACAAAACAGCAGTAGACTCATAGATGTTAAGAAGTGACTGGTGGTTACCATGAGGGAGGGGTTGGGGTGAGTATTTGGAAAGGGTGAAGTGGATAAAAGGCCACAACAATTCTCAATCATAATGTAAGTGGGTCACGGGGATGGTAGTACAGCATGGAGAATATAGTCAATGATTCTGTTAACATCTTCCTATGTTGACAGATAGTACCTGTACTAGTGGGGGCCAGGAATTAATAATATGGCTAAGTGTTGAACTGCTGTGTTGTATATTTGAAACCAATATAAGATTGTATATCAACTTATACTTCAATAAAAATAAAGTGGGGAAAGGAATTAGGTGGGCTAACAAAGTAATATAAGTATTTTATAACTTTTGGTTATTTCTAGTTGGCAAGATATCACTTTATGTAAGTCAATTATTTGACCTCTCTGTGGCTCAGTCTTCTCACCCATAAAATGAGGATATAATAGCATCTACCTCATAAAACTGTAGTGAGAAACAAATGAGTTAATGCTTGTAAAACATTTAGACTAATGATTGCCACAGAACTTTCATAATAACTAATGTAATTCTACTTCTGGAAAAGATACCTAAGTGAGTTTTCCTGAGTTGACTGCGATCATTTCTTTCTCAGGCTTTACTTGATAAAACCAGCCATGAGAAATTCTGGAAAATAGAGACATGCCACACAGTGT